GCCGGGAGCAGCCATTGCACTCCAGTCTGGGTGACAGAGTGAGACTCCAACTCAAAAAAATAAAAAAAAATAAAAAAGGATACAGAATTAACGCAAATATTTCTACTAGGGGATTTCCAATTCAGAGTTAAAGCTTCCCACTTGCAAAACTGAAAAAAAAAGCAACATACCAATGGGAAATTTTCAATATGCTATTTTTTTTTGAGTTGGAGTCTTACTCTGTTGCCCAGGAAGGCGTGCAAGGGCACTCTCACGGCCACCCCAGCGCTGACCTGCTGGGCTCCAGCGATCCCTCAACCTCAGCTTTGTAAGTAGCTGGAATTACAGGCGTGTGTTACCACGCCCGGCTAATTTTTGTTTTATTGTAGAGAGGAGGTCTCGCCAAGTTGTCCCAGCTGGTCTCCAACCTGCAGGCTCAGGCAATCCATTTGCCTCGACCTCCCAAAGTGCTTGGATTACAGGCTGAGCCACTGAAGCCGGCCACAGCATGCTATTTGAATCTGACTTGGGGTGGTAACTAGTATGGCTGCTGGTATCAGACAGACTTGTGTGAGAAGAAGGTAGTGAACACTTTGAGTTAACATCTACTGTCTGCTTTATTAAATACACATGATCAGGAGCTTGGGTTTAAAAGACAGTAAAGGGTTATGAGAGTATATTATATGTGTAGGGCTGGCCTACAAAATATCACAAAGTTCCAAGCTAAAAGAAACTTCATAGGCAGTGTATTAGGGTTCTCTAGAGAAACAGAATAGATTGGAGATTATATCATATATATATGAATTGACTCACATAATTATGGATGCTGAGAAGTTCAAAATCTGCAGAGCAGATGCCCCAGTTCAAGTCTGAAGACCAACAGGGTGCCATAGAGCAAGGGGAAGCTGATGTTTCAGTTAGAACCCCCAGAATTCTCTAGGGGGTTGGGGAAAAGCAATACATTTAGGCCTTCAACTGACAGGACAAGGTTCACTCACATCATCTTTTCTACTTGAGTCCACTTATTTAAATGGGAATCTCATCCAAAAACACCCTCACAGAAACACCCAGAATAATGTTTGACCAACAATCTGCTTTCCCTTTGGCCCAGTCAAGTTGACACATTAAAATTAGCCATCACAGGTAGTAAATACAAATACATCTGGGACAATACTCTTAAGAGGGAGCCAGATATGCATTTTCTATTCACCTATTTCTCCCTTCTAAATAAATCTACTTTAAGTATACAGATATACTTCATATGCTTTGTTTTTCAATATTTGCCGATGAGGGTTCTTCAGCCTCAGCACTATTATTTTGGGCAGGTATTTCTTTTTCTTTCTTTCTTTTCTTTCTTTTTTTTTTTTAAGAAAGCAGGATTTAATGAGAGGACAGAAAAGTTTCCAGAGTGGGAGGGGACCCAAGAGGGTTGCCCAGGACAAGTATTTCTTTGCAGCAAAGGCTGTCTTGTTGGATGGTAAAGTGGAGTTGCATCTCTGGCCTCTATTGCCCATGTCTGAGAACTATTGCTCTAGATTGATACCAATATGACAGTTGGCTAACAGCTGTTGTGTTGTCGTGGTATCAATAGAAAGTTCAGAGTGATTTTTTAAAAGTTTTTGTCTTATTTTTTTTCCTACTCTATAGATAGCCTTTTCTGGTGTTAGCAGATATTTTGTATATATATTTGCTTGATACTTTGTGGTCTTATTAACTTCTGGGATGAAAATGTGTTTACTAAATATGAGCACAGAAGCAGGACCTGGTTATGTGGTCACACACACACATATACACACACAATGTTCACGATGATCTCATCTTTTTTGTTTGGATAAGTCAACAGCAGCTTGGTGGATTGGTCTGAATTCTGACAGCACAGTCTGCTATGCCTTGCTTTGCAAATCCGCCCTCTTATACAATCATGCTTGACTTTTTCCCCCCAAATTCATCTGAGACATATCACTTGACAGGAAGCTAAATGCCAGTATTGGGAATTACGTTTTCCCGATTTCCTCACTTGTTAGGGTTAAAGGGATGAAGATGATAGGGTGAAGTTTAGCTACAGCTTGAAAGCATTTAATTCTGTGGTAGCTCTTTTTTCTTTTTCTTTTAACTTGTTGGGCTCTGTTCAGAGTCTTGTAGGAGGCAGACCCCCTCTTCTTTCTTCTGTGAGTCCCTGTGTGTGGCTTTTAGCCCACAGAGGCACAAGGTGCTTGACCAGCAAACCCCTGGAATTCAGGAGTGTGATTTGCTGGATTCTAATTTGCCTAACAGGCTCATTTAAAATTTCACAAAATTCCAAAGTGGACTTTTATATATCTGTAATGGCATCTGTTTGCTTTATCATCTCGTGTTTGCGGTATATGTCTGAATCTCTGAACAGACAACTTGGTGGCCCGAAGTGAATATGGGTGACCTGGGTTAGAATTCTGGTGCTGCTCCTTACGCTAGTGTGTGTCCTTCTGAGATTCAGTTTCAGTGTCTATACAATGTAAATAAGAACACTCTTTCTCCCAAACTACTTCATGATTAAACACAACAGATTATATACATAAGTGAAAGCTGTAAATACCATGCTTGGCATGGAGTGGGTAATCAGTCAACATTATTTAAATGCTTAAGTTAAAAGTAAGTGAATTTGAGTCACAAAGTAAGAAAAACAATACTACTGTGTTATAACTCACCGAATAAAATCAATATCCATGAGCCCATACTGATGTAAATAAATAAACAAACACACAAGTAAATGGTGAAAAGGGATAGCTCTTTCTTACAGAGGAATTTCAATTAATAAATGTTGAAGGAATGAGGGAAATATAAAAGTCACTACTGTAATAACTGTTGTAGGTGAGACCTATCAATGGGTGCTAAAATTAGTGGGCAAAAGATTGAGGAAAAACAGATATTTGCATAGCCTCAAGGTATCTCCCTCACAATAGAGATTAATTACAAAGGGAAAAAAGGTAACTCTATGGAGGAAGAAATTGACAGACACCACCCTAACCAGGTGATCGATGTTGACATCACCAGTAGTAAGACATGTGAACGTTATGTATCCCTGATCTGATGCATCCAGAACACATTCACTTCTGTGGTATTCTGGCCAAAAAAAAAAAAAACAACAAAAAACCCCAAACAAACAAAACCATGATTTCAATCAAATCATGAGAAACCCACAGACAAATCCAAACCTAGGGACTTTCTGAAAATACTCTTCAAAAGTGTGAAGGTCTTTAAAGACGAGGAAAGACTGAGCAACTGTTACTGACCTGAGAAAACCAAAGCGCTGTGATAACTAAGCACAATATGGAATCTTGAAATAGCTAAAGGACATCAGTGGGAACGCTGGTGAAATCCGACTAGAGTCTATAGCTTGGTTAGTTGTACTGTGCCAGCGTTTGTTTCTTAGTTTTTTGTTTTTTTTTGAGTAGGAGTCTCACTCTGTCATCCAGGCTGGATTGCAGTGGCACGCTCATGGCCACCGCAGCCTAGACCTGCTGGGCTCAGGCGATCCTTCCGTCCAGCCTTCCAAGTAGCTGGAACTACAGGCACATGCCACCATACCTGGCTAATTTATTTTTTGATTTATTATAGAGTTGAATTCTCACCAAGTTGCCCAGGCTGGTCTTGAACCCCTGGACTCAGGTAATCCCCTCACCTCGGCCTCCCAAAGTGCTGCGATTACAGGCTTGTGCCACCACGCCTAGCCTTTTTCTTAAGTTTTGATAACTGTATTATAGCGATACGAGATATTATCACTGGGGAAGCGAGGGAAGGAGTTATGGAATTCTATAAGCCATTTTTGAGACTTTTCTGTAAGTCTGAAATTACTTCAAAATAAAAAGTTAACAAAAGTAAACAAGACAGCTGTGGTTACACTATTGTCTTTGATGTGTTTACAAAGTGCCATGTGCACTGGCAGCCCTTTATACCACTACCCCTGCTCCCTCCTGCTGGGGACAAGCTCAGTTTACAAATGGCTACACAGCTCATACAGTCCTTGATGCTCCTGTGAGATATTCCCATTTCAAGCTGATGAGATGAGGCTCAGAGAGGTGAGGGGCTTGCCCAAGGCCACCCAGCTGCTCTTTCCTTCCTCCTGCAAAGTCACATCAGTGGCCAGATGGTGACAGAAAAACTCAGTCTGCTCAACCAAGATCACACACAAGCCAGTGACACTTTATTATACAAGGGAGTTGGCAACAGGACAGATTCATTTCTGTTAAAGAAGCTCCACATTCCCAGTGAGTCCTCTGGAGACACAGTTAACATAATCAACTAATAGCTGAGCACTTGCAATGTGTCAGAGTCATTAAATCAGATGCAAATTCTACTACAAAAATTGAAATCTTCTTTAGGACCAATACTTAGAAGAGGCCCAGTTTCAAAGATTCTGACTTGCACAGACTGAGCACTCCCATTTCCAGAAGTTCAAATACCTCCTTTCTTATCTAAATGAGAGAAAGCAGGGGGAAAAGGAAAAAAAAAGGTTAAGATCAAGCAAAGATGGTCTTGGTGAATAAATTCAACTTTATTGAAATCTGGACTCTGATATTTACACAGCTGTTATGGCCAGAATCAGAGAGGGCAAAAGTCCTAACCCAGATTGATTCAGAGTTGAAATATTTATATAAATAAAATAAAAGAGACACTATATAACACATCAGTTTCATTAAAGCACCCTTTTGTTTGCAGCTGTTCAAAGCAAAATGCCACACAAAGATGTTTCAATAACTCCAAAGATTATATACAATATTTCAATATAGGATTGTATTGCCTTAGGATAACTGCTAATAATGATATTAACGTAATAAAAATAACTATGAGTGATAAGATTTTTTGGGGACACTATTTGTCATTATTATAATTAGAAAACTAGTAGATTGGTCAGACTTAACATAATAAATGAAATAATCAAATATAGCCTCATGTGCCAGATATCAAATTTGTTAAAAAAGTTTTTTAAAAAACCAGTCAGCCGGGCTCGGTGGCTCAGCCTGTAATCCCGCGCCTTTGGGAGGCTGAGGTGAG